AAAAAAAAAAAAAAAAAAAAAAAAAAAAAAAAAAAAAAAAAAAAAAAAAACAAAAAAAAAAAAAAAAAAAAAAAAAAAAAAACTGAAATTAATCAGATCAACCGAAAAAGCACTGTGCATGTGTATTTACATGGCTGGCTTAGTACTAGTGGAAAATACTTGACGGCTCAAGTATTTCAGCTCAAGGTGGATTTTAAAATACTAGATGATTATAAATCACTTAATTTTTTGAAAAAATACGTTTAAAGAGTCTCTTCATTTCCTATGAAAACGTGTAATGTCTATGCAAAATAGTTGGTTGTTGTCTTTCACCTTTTTTTCTCCGATTTAGAAGATGAATATCTGTGTATCCAGATTCTAAGACAAGCTTGTTGGAAATAATAATAACTTTGGTTTATTTGATTACACCAATGCATACGAGGTCTATCTGCTTAGGAAAGGGATGCCTTCATGGAGCTGTTTCTAAGGCAGATTTCCTCATATCCATGTTACACACGAGGAAAAACATGAAAACGTCTCTGCAGGCAGTCCGTGCATCTGGAATCGAACCCAGAATGAATTACAAGTGCTCAGCTGCTTACCACTCAGCCATTGGTGAACTCTGGAAATGTTACTATAGATGGTACTGAGTAAAGCAAACCTTTTATTACAATGATCGAAGTTAAAATACCTTCAGTCCAGCTGATGAAAATACATTAAATTAATTTTTGTATAGCGATCATACATTATCACACCATTTCCATAAGACTCGATGGTCTGTTTTAAGAGCATCAACTGTATAACAAAACAGCGTTAAAAATAGACTTATATGCATTCTTAATTATCTTATCATATCAAATAAGATTCTATTATTAATTTACATTGGGTATTAAGCAAAGGACTTAGATACTTTTATTAAAACTGCATTAAAAGATCAAGTATTGAAATTAATATATGTCAAAAAAGGTAAAAATTAGTCAATGCTTCTGATATTAAAAAAAAAAAAAAAAAAAAAAAAAAAAAAAAAAAAAAAAAAAAAAAAAAAAAAAATCGCCTTAGTATAGAAACTGCGAAGGTAGAAAATAGGAATTTTTACAGAATGAAGAGAGGAAAAGGGATTTTTAATTTTTTTTTTAATTCTTGTTCAATTATTAAAACATAAACATGAATATTTTACTTATTATACTTAATGAATTGTAGGTTCCATGTGAAGGAAACTGCTATCTGTAGACTGAGTAGCAGGAAACTACACAGGAGAGAAGGTTCACGTATCCTTATTAATCTTTAAAATTACAATGCGTCAACTCGACGCTAACCAACTTAGCTCTAATTGGGGCGGTAACCTGAAAGGTTTTTTTTCAACGCAGATCCAGGGGCGGTTGATAGATAATTGAAAACTAAAAGTTGAATTATTAACAAGTGATTAAACCAACAACTTAGCATACAGCGGCTCAGGAGATCCCATAATTAAAGCCTTAGTCTAATCTAGTGGCAGCAAAGCAATGCAATTAAGCCACTTGAAGCAGCAATAAGCAAACGTACCTACGGCAGCTAGAGCCTCTCTCTTTCTCCTACAAAAACTCGGCTTTTAACTACACTGGTGAAGTAAATTAAGAGAATTTGCATATTTTATCGAATTGCATAAAAAAAAACTGAACGATAGGAAAAATCACTGCTTCTAGATAAAAAGGCAAATATTGTACGACAAATACGTAAGCGTACACATGTGTGTATGAGGAGCCAGCAGAAAAACGGGCTTTATAAGCGCGTGGAGGGTAAGACGAATTGAGTTCGCTAGCACACATCGGCGAATTTCTTAGTGTTATCTTGCAGCAATCGTTTAAATTCACATCGAAACAGTAAAAATGAGTAACCACCAACGTTTAGATGATGAAATGAGGTGGCGAATTGTGGATATGTTAGAGGCAGGCCAATCACAAGTCCAAAAATACAGAGAATTTAATTTACGCTCAGCGTCTTGTGTATATATTAATATAGGATTCCTGGATTCATCGAGAGAAAGCCTGGGCAAGGTCTCAGAGCATACGGCCAGAGAAGATCGCTATTTGTCAGTTCAGCGAGACGAGTACAGGGGGCTACAGATTCCACTCTCTCGGGACATATGACCACAGGACCCGTTCACAGGGGTACTGTTTTCCAAAAACTGATGAAAGAGGGTTGTTTGCCAGAAGACCGCCGTTTCGTCCCGCTCAGTCTACAGACAGGAAAGTCCATTAGCATGGTGCAGGCACCATAGTATTGAAGTAGCGCATGAGCGTCCGTTCTCTTCACCGACGGTCCGTTTTAGCCTAACACCGATTCTCGCATACTTTCAATGAGAGAGCCAAGACCCGTTACCTACCTCCATGTCGCGAAATCAACATTATGGATTGGAGGTAATGTTGGCAGGCAACATTTTGGATGCCGCACACTCTCTCGTCTTTGACAGAGGTTCTGTGACTATGTGGGTATAGGGATGAGGTCTTGGAGCCCTATGTTCGCCTTTTCCGATGCCAGTGGGCCCCAGAGTTCTTACATGACGATAAGCGAGAGACCCATGGAGCTCTTTGTCGACGAATTTCTCGAGAGTGAGGATATTCTTATGGATTGGCCAGCCAGGTCTTCAACCTCACCCTGTACAACATGTCTGGAACGCTCTGGGGAAGGCAATTGCAACTCGTAACCCTCTGGAAGAACCATTCAAGAACTGAAAACAGCGTTGCTGAATGACTGGGACTAATTGCCACAGGCATTGATAACGCCTTATTTCATGTGACATCTGCTGCAAGGCCTGTATGGCTGTAAGAAGGGACCATGCCCCCTATTAACCCATTTCTTTTGTGTCTTCTGCAACCGCTGTTTCAGACCTTCAGACTCCCATGAGTGTTACACCCGAACATGTGTGTCTGTTATAACTGATGAATGTTAATTTTGTTTGTATTATATCAACCTATGTTCACAGCAAATTTTATTAAAATCTGTCCAGTAGTTCAGGAGATCGTAAATCAAATATGAAAATTCTCTTAATTTATTTCACCAGTGCACTTTCTTCAAAATAGAAAATTTGCATTCGTTCACGCGCGCTACAACATTTAACTATTCTGGCACTGACAATTAGGGAAATGAAGGCTTATAGGAAAGTTTCAAATAAAATTTTAAATTATTAGTTAAAATAAATATAAATCCCTGCAAATTTTTGAAAACAAGAACAGTGTGTAGTCAACAATTTTCAGGGGCAATAGATATCCTTACCCCAACCTAAATTCATGTTTACGAAAATATTTGCCATGCAGCAGTAATGCGAAAGCATTTTTAGTCTCCATCAATGCCCTTCTAATGGAGATAAAAAAATAGCTGCTAGTTATATCCTTGTATTGGTTAGCACACTGCCAGTAGCAAATATTGTCTCGAAAGCAGCATTCCGCAATGCTAGAGCAAATTAGAAACCATCTCTGATTTAAAAAAAAAAAATCTTATATCGCAGCGGTAAATGAAGTAAAAGAAAGAAGTAAACTCTTAATAAACAAACAAAGGAAGAAATAAATAATGAAGCAGGAGATTTTAATTAATTTAGAAAATTAATTGACGAACTAAGAGATCCTTATGAAAAGCGAGTTCGAGTCTAGTCGAACTCAGACAAAGATACTTTTCTGGGACTTGCATATGTTTACTACTTAATTTTATTTTACTCTGCTATTGTTAGAAAAACGCTGAATTGCATGGATCCTAGTTACATCAATCCCATAATTTTACGTTCTTCATTCATAATTCTAACTTTATTGTCAGTAATGGGATAGTGTTTTTGTTGCTGCTGTAAAATTTGACTTTTATCACATAGCCCCTTTTTTACATCTTCAGATTCAATAAATATATAGAGAAACTGCAGGTCACATTCTCGTTTAGATTTCAAGAATGTTAGTAAGTGTAAAAAGTCAGTAAAATACAAGTAGAGTCCAGGTCATCTGACCTGTTCGGCAGAAAGAATAATCCATAAAACATCACAAATTGTTGAGTTTTCACAAGTAAGCAGCATTCGCGTTTCATTGTTGATTTAAATTCTGCTAAGTGGAAAACTTGAATCAATGGTTTTCAAATGATGAACCAGTATGTAATTTTGGAAATAATGGATGTATTTTTATTATTTTTTTAATGTCGAATTTTCTACTTTTCATATTATCTAACCAAGCCTCCTCCGTTTAGGTTGGATAATCGGGACTGTAATCCTGTCATTTCTATAAGTGATTTCTTTATTATAAAAAAATTTTAACTTTTATAGCTTCATCTTTTTTAAACTGTTCATAATTTTGAAATGTTCTTATCCCTAATTTAAAGTATTATGAATATAATTTTTAAGCATCTTTTCTCATCAGTAGTACAGAAAATTGTATATAGTAATAACATTTTGTTACTTTTACAAATGTTATTAGAAACTGTCTCATTAAAAATATATTAGTCTAACAGAATTTTGAAAAAAAGAATTTCTCTTCCATTATTGTGTATCAGTAGTTGCTGTTTGTAGCATTATTTTTGAAATTCATGTTATCTTGTTCTAGGATTAGCTCTTCTGTTCTTAGTTGCTGAATTGGAAAATCATGAACATTTTGAATATTCAGTACCACTAGATTTTATATTTAGTGCTGTTGTGCCAAGTTATTGCATTTGCCGAGGTTTTTTCAACTTGTATTGTAATTTTAAAAATAATGAAATGTGTAATAAAGCAGTTGTGAAGGATTTCTGCAAAAGAAAGAATCCCAACTATTCTCCATTGAAGGTTTGTTGCACAGGTAGGATTTCACTTTTGGTATGTAACTCTTTTTCTGTATTCAATGTAACACACTGATATGTTCTGATAATGTCTGAATGTGTGAAGTACAGTATTGACACTAAAAAATATTTGTACCCTGGTCTTCCTATTTGGGGGCGGAGGGTTACCTATGTTACACGAGGAAGGCATTTGCCATCCATGCAGCATGGAAAGTATTGCCATTTAGCATAGTATGGAATCTTCAATTTACTTTTCAAATAATAATTACATACTGATTAAATAACTCGGACTTAAAAATAATACATGTGCTTTGTAATTTTTATTTTACTTTTGAACAGAATCTACACTCTTAGACAAAAGAAACGACGCACCAAGAAAACGACCACCAAAAGAAACGACACACGAATATCCGAATGGGACGAAAATCGCTAGAAGTGATGTAGATGTACAGACAAATTATTACAGTTTGAGAAAAACAAATGATTACATTTTGAGAAAAATTGATTGATTTATTGAAGTGATAGAGCTTCACAAAGTGAAAGTCAGTAACGCGTTTGTCCACCTCTGGCCCTTATGCAGGCAGTTATTCGGCTTGGCATCGATTGATAGAGGTTGCGGATGTCCTCCTGAGGGATATCGTGCCAAATTCTGTCCAACTGGCGCGTTAGATCGTCAACATCCCGAGCTGGTTGGAGGGCCCTGTCCATAATGCTCCAAACGTGCTCAATAGGAGAGTAATCCGTGCTACCTTGCTGGCCAAGGTAATGTTCGGCAAACACTAAGGCAAGCAAGTAGAAACATGTACAGTGTGGGGCCGGGCATTATCTTGCTGAAATGCAAGCCCAGGGTGGTCTGACATAAAGGGCAACACAACGGGCCTTAAAAACTTCGTCGACGTACCTGCTGTGCAGTAAGGTTGTGACGGATGATAACCAAAGGGTTCCTACTACGAAATGAAATGACACCCCAGATCATCACTCCTGGTCGTCGGCCTGTCTTCCAGAAGACAGTCGGGTTGGTATCATACCGCTGTCCAGGGCGTTTCCAGACTCACCTTCGCTGGTCATCGGGTCTCAGTTCAAAGCGGGACTCATCACTGAAAACTGTTCTACTGCAGTCAGTGACATTCCAGTGCGAATGAGCCCGACACAACTGCAAGCGGACTTGATGTTGTACAGAGGTCAATGGTAGTTGGCGCAAGGGGCGCTGTGACCTCAGCCCCCTTTCTGAGGCGGCTATGAATGGTCCTTGCGGTCATTAAAGCACTAGTTGCACGTACAATCGATGATAATGATGCATCTGGGGCTGTGAGTGCCACTCTGATGATTGCTCGGTCTTCACGTTCTGTCATTTCTCTAAGCCTACCGCTTCCTTCTTGACGCTGTGTGCAGCCATGGTTCACCCATTCCTGCCATCATCGTCTAATAGTGGGACATCGCTCCTGCTCAAATGTCGAGCTATTTCGCCGATAAGAGCAACCGGTCTTCTTTGAGCCCAACTACACGACCTCTCTCAAATTCCTGACATCTGCGCATATCGTTCTCGCACCTGTATGCGAGGCATGGTTACTGTCTACCAGTAACAATGAAATTAGTACACAGAATGAAATTTGTGAAGAATTTATGATCTAGAATCGTAATTTCTCCTCTTAAATATCCTGCCAGTTGCGCAGATCAGATGCGCTGTAGCGACAACCGTTCATCATTGGCAGCCAAAATGTAAAATTTTGCATTTTTCGTCGAAACCTGTATGCATATCAATTTATGTCCAATTTTCTTTATATCATCTCGGTGCGTTTTTTTTTTTTTTTTTTTTTTTTTTTTGTCCCCTTTGTCTAAGAGTGTATATTTGATTTAATTTATAATGTGTTTAATTGATGCGATATATTTATTACAATTGATAATTTTTATAATTTATATATTTATCCAAATTGATAATCAACTAATTGATAATTTTTATAAATAATTGCACTGCTTTGAAAATGATAAAAAAAACGTTTTAACATCATGCATTATCTACTTTTGTACATAATCCGTATTTGCATATATTGCTTAACCAGTCTGTTAACTTAAATTTTTATTTATTGTTACATATATGTAAAATGTTTCATTTTACTCTCATTATATTAGCATTTCATTTGTACATGCTTAAATGCATTTTATAATTATCTTTAATAAAGTAATATATAAACTTAACCTACTTGAAAAGAAGAAATGTACAGAAACTGAATTATTTAATATTTTTAATAATCATATCAAATATTTTATAAGCCTAATTTTTACTAACCTAAGGGGAAAATCTTTAGAAAATGGAAGCTTAAGAAGTATACATATAGATACTGTCTGAGATATTAGTACTAGATATCTTTCAGCAACAGATGATTACAGTGGAAATATGTTGTATATATAACATTGTGTTTTGCTTTAGCTAAAGTGAAGTAATCGAAAAGGAAACTCTTTGCATATATTGTTTTTATCAGACAGGTTTAAATAATTAGTATATATTTTCCTAATTGTACTATAAATTAAATAAGTAAGTTGTAGCAAACAATAAGTTTATTTACAGAAACAAGGCTACTGTTTATTATTATATGCTCTCTATGTTACTATTCAGTTCTGAGTGCATTCTAGAGTTTCTTATTTTTAATTGCTTCATAATTCCAGTTTGCTAATGTAATCAAAATTTGTTTCCTTTCCTTTAAAAAAAAAAAAAAATATTGATGGCCAAAATTAAAGTTACAAATAAATTTTTGCAATTATTCAAAATAGTTACCACTACTAAAAATTGATGTTATATATAATTTGGGGAACGTAAATGTGATATAAATGTTTAGTGATTATTAAAAGGTGTGGAGGATAAATTTTCTATGAAAGTGAATGATTTCGGAATCTTCAACATTTATACATCAAATTGTGATTTTCAAAACAAAAGTCATAATACTGACAATTTTAGTCAAAATGAGCTCTCGCAATTGTTTAGGCGAAAAACTAATGTGAAGAGCCATTGATAGACTTGAGGCTAGCCTGTCTCAAGTGGAGGTCATTCAGTCATTTATGAGTCATTTATGAGTATCTCGATAGGTGGTGTCCATGTTATGCCACCAATGTTGCTCTAGCTGTTTCTAAGGACTTTTAACTGTAACTGGAACAGTAATTTACGAGTGGCTAGTAGAGCTAATTCTTTATGCTTAGTCACCAGTGAAAGTTTCTTCCTCAATAAATCACAGAATGGAACCCATCTTTTGTGGAATCAGGCACACTTTTCTTGACCACATCAACATTGAGGTCATGCCTCCTTCAATAATTAGCACGTCTTTGCATGCCTTCAATGCAAACATTGTAGCTGCATTAAAATTAGAGATATGTTTCTTGAAATTTATGTAAACCTCTTGGTGTAGTGTTGAAAAGGGTTTTTTTTTTTTTTTTTTTTTTTTTTTATGGACAACAATGTGAAGCTACACAGAGCTAAATTATTTGAGAATTTTTTGAAAAAAGAAAAATGATAGGAATAAAACGTAACTGATACTTACTGAAAACTTATATATAGAAATCTACGCAAAAGCATTAGTTAACATAAATTGCAATATTTGGCAGTTGATTATTCTCAAAATATTGAAATAAAAACCAGTTTATGGAAATTGGAATATGATCCAATGTCCATAAACTGGAAACATTAAATCACCTTTTGTGGAAAACATTTTTCCTCAGTACGGTATGTTGTAATACTTGGCAACGCTGTTTGCTCCATTTGAGGATACGAAGAAAGTCAGGTAGTAGCTGGCCGCTGGTTCACATTCCTCTCTATTGTTGCGAAACTTTAGGAGATTTGTCTGAAGTTTTGTGACAGTATCTAAACTAACTAACTCAACTGCAAACTAAACTCACACCACTTCATTGGTGTCGTTTTTCAGCTCACATCCAGGCGTATAAATGTTAAGATATTTTTGGGAACTTTTGATATTCTGTGAAGGTAAAATGTCGTTCGAAAAGAAAAGAAAGCAAACTAATGTGACAATGAAAATGAAACTAGATGCCTTAAAGAGACTGACCAAAAGGGAAAGTGTAAACAAAATTACTAGGGATTTAGGTGTTGGACGGACTGCATTGATAGGATGGGAAAAGAAGAGGTCCGAAATCGAGTTTTTGTGTGTGGAAAGAGACTGTAGCGATAGTTTAAAGAGAGAAAAAGTATGAAAGGTGATGAATACGGAAAAGTGAGCAAGGGGCTTTCTTTGTGGTTTAAGCAGCAAAGGGAACACCTGTTTTAGGACCATATTTTACAAGAGAAAACTCTAAAAGTTAATGATGAATTTCAAGGAGAGCCCGGATTTACTGCTAGTGCTGGCTGGCTTGACAGATGGAAAAAGCGGTACGGCATCAGACAGTTAAACGTTTGTTGGGAAAAGCTATCTGCTAACTTGGAAAATGCTGTAATATCCAAGGATAATTTCCACAAAGTAATTTAAAAGAAAGGTATGTCTGGAGATCAAGTTTATAGCTGTGATGAGTCAGGTCTGAATTTTCGAATGTTACCTTCGAAAACGCTGCCATCCAGAGAAGAAAAATCGGCACCCTGCTATAAAAGAAGCACGGTGAGAGTCACGGTCTTGGCATGCAGCAATGCAATAGGCAGCCATAAGCTCAAACTCGCGCTTATAGACCAATTAAAAAAAACGTGCATTTAAAAGCGTAGAAAAGTACACTAATGGACCAAAACCACTATGATCTGCCTGTTTTATACCGGAATCAGTCAAATGCATGGATGAATAGAGCAATATTTGATGACTGGTTTCATCAGCAGTTCGTTCTATCGGTGGAAAAGTTTTTAAAATTAAAAAAAAAAAAAAAAAAATCGACCAATGGAGACGATTCTCAGTCTAGACAATGTTTCATCCCATCCTGATACAGAACAGTTACGAGACGAAAATATTACAGCCATGTTTCTCCCTGCTAACGTAATTTCAGTGTGCCAGTCGATGGACCAGGGCGTTTTGGAGAGACTGAAGAAAAAATACAAACG